TCTCTCTCTCTCTCTCTTCTCTCTGGTGAGCTGTAGTTTGTGAGTTGTAGCCAGCAGCAATTTTTTCTTTTCTTTTTTTGGCATGGAATGAAAAGAGATTGGCCACTGACAGCCAAAAGACATCAGAAAGCTCACCAAATGTCCTCCCCACTTGCTTCCCGCAATATAGGAAATGTGAGCAGTTGTGTCACAATTGTAATTCAATGAGAAATTATTGATTCAAATGTCTCATGTATTCTAATAAGATTACAAATTTATGCTTATTTATTTACGACGATTTTCGTTAAAAAAATATTCATATTTTGGGGATTTTAATTTTTTATTATTTTTTTAAACAATACTTATAATTAAAAAAATTAAAATACCTTTCATTTTTATTATTTTTACTATTTTTTTAATTATTATTATAATAATATTTTCATTTGGCTCATTCGTTATATTTTTAATAATATTAATAATATTTTGTTGTTGTATTCAAAATACTATAAATATTGAAAAACACTATAAGTGACACTATAAGTAACAATAACCAATACACAAGGTAAGGACAATATTGGGATTATAGATCTAATTAGATTACTTGTAATATTTTTATTATAATGACTAAAATACCGTAACATGTCAAAAATGTTATAATAAATCAAAACACTGTAATGGATAGTAAAACTTTATAGTGACCTAAAGAATTGTCCTTACCTTGAGTATTGGTTATTGTTCCTTTGACGTGCTGCCTATTTGTTGCACGATGTCACGAGATAACAATCTTGGGCTTCATTGCAACTCAGGATTTCACATTCAGGTGAGATGTTTGAGGATAATCATTTGAGACATTCAGGGTAGGGTATATTGTCGAGCTTGGCTATTAAATTTGAGGGTATTACTTCTGCTACAAACAAAGAGTGATAATTAGATTTGAGGTTTTACAAAATGTGAAATGTTTATGATTCTCTCTCTTATCTTTTTTTTTTTTGGATGCATGCATTTTCCGATAAAATTAAACTTGGTGAAATCATAGTTTGGAGTTATTTCTTTCATTTTAAGTTGTTGATCATTTATGTTAAGGTAGTTTGTGTAGGTTCACTTTCTAATGTTTTATTTCTCAGATATGGGACACAGCAGGGCAGGAAAGGTTCCAGAGTCTTGGTGTGGCTTTCTATCGTGGAGCCGATTGTTGTGTCCTTGTGTATGATGTTAATGTCGTGAAATCGTTTGACAATTTGGATAATTAGCGTGAGGAATTTTTGTAAGCATAAAAATCTGTAATTATGCTATGTCAATAATGCGAAATTAACCTATATGCCAGGATTGAAATCAATGCATAGATCTAATTATACGATGCGTACCTTTTGATACCATCCGTTCAGAAATCTTGTTTGATCTGCTCAGCACCGTAATCCAAGATTGCTGCAAGCTCCGTCTTTAATCCGATCGCGCTGCGGAATCTATAGGGAGTGCAGAGATCTATAGGGAGTGCAGAGAGTAGACCCTTTCTCCTCTCTTCCTATCCTTTCACAGGATCCACAGATTGATGGATTTAGGGAGAGGGTTTTGGGGAGAGAGTCGAGGAGAATAACTGAATCCCTCAACGGAGAGGTGCTATACGTGTCAACGTTATGACGCTCTAACACACTAACACACCCTCAACCCGTAGAGATCCTGTCCTTTTATAGGCAAGAGCAGAGGGTCTACAATGAGATCTCAGAAGATTTCCTCCCATCAAGGATATCTCCGAGGAATCGTTCAACGGAACCCAATTAGCTATTCTATTATATATCTTATTCAATTATAAATGGCCACATATTCTAACATTCTCCCACTTGGCCCATTAATTGATAAGATATAAAAGAGATACAAAATCAAAACAAACAAAATAAAAATTTGTTTGAAAACAATTTTACCTAATTGGATTCCAAAAAAATTTGAAAAGCATTTTATACATGGCCATGTTTTTAAAAATAAGCCAATAAGTCCAATAAACACAATAATACTATATTAAGTCCAACTATCAATGCGAGTCATAGTGGTTGTATTTCATCAATGTCATACTCCCTTCTATGTACCACAACATTGTTAGTCTTTCCTAACATAGTCCATAATGATCCCTGTAATTTGTCTTGTCAAGACAATCCTGTTATTACATTCAACCATAATATGCATAAACATAAATGTAAACAGGATAGCATAAACAGATAACTTTAATTAAGTAAAATGTTAAT